CTGCTTCTCCCTCTGACCCTACCCCGTCTCATGCTCTATCTCATTCTCTCTCTCAAATAAATAAATAAAATCTTTAAAAAAAAAAATAAATCACGATAAAACAGATTCCAACAGGTTATGACTGGCTCAAACTAGTTTGAACTGTGGTAGCCTGGCACTGACTCATTCTGGTTAGATTTGATCCAGTGGTTTGTGGTGCCTGAAGCAAACCAGTTCAATCTAGCTTGAGCAGGATCAGCTGGTTCAAAAGCACAAGACCGAGCCTCACCCACGCGGTCCTGCGAGGGTTCAAGTCACTGATCACTATGTCCGCGGAAATACAGGGATAAAGCTCTCACACTGGAGATGTAATGCTCGAAATGACATCCTTCCTCATCATATCAGCTTTCCAAAGCTTATGTTCATATGTGCTTTTTCTCAACACTGGTCATTAGGAACACCCCAAACATACAGTACTGATACATAAGGACTCTGGCACACTTTTTTTCTGTTTAGAACTGTTGGCAGGTGCACAGTCCCGATCCATGCTCCCCTAAACTCGGCACTAGATGCATGAGGTATGGGGAGACCAGTGTGGACGGCTCGGGCCCCTGCATCCACCCCTTGCAGCCCCTCACCTTGATCCTGCTCACGGCTTCCTGGGCCTGCATCATGCGCACGTTTTTGGAGGGGGTTTTGTCCGACAGCAGCTGGGTGGAACCAAGGTAATTGGCAGCAAAAATGATCCCATCGATCAAGTCCTCAGGGTCACAGGGTCCAGGAACTGTAATACACAGAGCCGCGGCGGTGAGTGAAGCCACCCTGGGGTGTGCCCCTAACAGAGCCCCCCGACCGTGCAGCTCCTTCCCCTCCCCCTGCCGGACACCCTGCCAAGTCTGAGGCGTCTCCCCGCGTCTGCCTTCACTCACCCCTTGTTTTCAAAGGGAAGGAACAATTTCCTCCTAATCCACGTCACCCAGGCCATTTACTGTGAGAAGTGATTGTTTATTTAAATATGAAACATGCAATCAGTGACAAGGGATGTTGTTTCTCCTGTTAGACTGTGAGCTCTTGGGGGACAAAGACCATGTCATGTTCCTCTTTGGCACTCATGTCCAATCCATGTCTGTCACCCAGTGGGTATCAAATAAATGGGTGCCAGACATGTGGCTAGGGGAGCAGCGAGGCTGCTTTATTAGAAAACCCCATATTGTAACAGTTCCTTCACCTGCCATCATCCACCTCTCTCTCTTCCCATTGTAGCTGTAATGGGGAAAACAAACTTTATAAATCAGGAAAAGGGGTATTTTCCTCAGAATGTCTGGATTCCTATAATGACCTCTGACCCCAATTCTGCAAGGCAGATGACATTACCCCAAAGCCGGAGTCTCCTGCTGCCGACCTTGCGGACTTACAGGCTCTCATGTTCCCGGCTGGCATCCACACACAGATCAATTCCAAGGAACTTTCTGTTCTCACTGACTGGCCTTTGAAATCAAACCTTAGGTTTAAAATATTTAAAATGGGGGCATCTGATTCTAACTGTAATCATCTGTAAACCCTACTTGAAATTAAAACATGTCTAGGACTAATACATAACTTTATAACACATGCACCAAGAAAGGCTTTTAATTCTACAATGAAACATATGTATTTTCTTTGGCTTGAATGCCATATTTGGGGAGATTAAAATATACGTTTTAACCTACTGTTCAAACCTCAGGCTCTTAAATTAGATAATTGGAAATGGAAACAATTCGCTTTTTCCTTTTGGAAAGCTAATCTGAAATGATTTTTATTTTTATCTGCCAACATCGAGCTCATCTTGAGCTTAACCAGCTGCTTCCCGTGATAAGCTACTTATCAGGGTACAATCTTAAAATAATCCGATCATTTCTCTAAAGGCAAGGCGGTGGTTGAAACAAAGAAATTATCAGTGTTTTAGGAAAGGTCTTCACAAAGCATCTGTGTAGTAAATAAATAAGGAAACCTGTTATTTGCCTTTTTCTAGATCTTTCCGAGAAAGGCTTCTGGACAGTGAGTGGTAGGCAGCCAACCTGCCTCCACTATGGGCCAGTTATTCACCTTCTCGACAGTCACGTGCTTCCCGCCCTGAAACTTTCCTAGATGTGAGAAGGATTCAGGGTATTTCCAACAGATAGGTTTAGTTGTAGAGCAGGGAAGTGCTTCTAGCCAAAATAATACATGGACAGGTTTGCACCCACATTACACTTTGTAAAAAGTAAAAGATTATCAGTCTCCTATCATAAATTCCTGTGATGGGTTTAAGTGTTATTTAAACATACCATTTTTGCCCAACCAGGCATTGAGAAAAAAGATCTCGTCTGGGATAGTAACTTTTAAAAACCTTCCATTTATTTTGTGAAAATAATGCATGTTCAAAGAAAAATAAGAATTAACAACATACTTCTCCTATGGGACTTCCAGTATTGTATACTCATCTCTGAGTTGGCTCTATCCCCTGAAAGTTTCTCTCTTCAACCGTAGTAAGTGTGGACATGCACAGAGGTGTAAGAGCAATCCAAATAATATTTAAATGATTTGTATAAATGTCAACCAGCCGAGAGACAGAAATATTGGACCTAAATACACTATACATTTGAGCTACGATCTTATGCCATTTATCCTCCGGGGAAACTGATCATAATCAAACATCACTGCCACCAGATCACACCTGGGAAAAAAAAAAAAGCCCTAAGTCCATAACTTCATTTTGGTGTATTTTTTAAAAGTTAAAAAATTTAACATTATAATGGCCCTAAGTCGAAGAACCGCAGGTTTCATTTTGGCCTCTTAGAACGTGTTTCCTTTCAGGGAGGTCTCTGTGCTGCTCTGTGGGTGAACAAGCACACACATGTCATTGTCAGACTCACGTGAATGCTGAGCCTGGTGGAACGACTATGAAGAATGGAGTTTCCAAACTCTCGGGAACTCCCCAAGGAGTACTCGTGGAATTCTGGAGTCTTGCAAAAATGGTGCAAGTAATTTACAGGTCACTCAAGAAAGAGACCTGAGTAACTGAACCAAACCTATGAGGCTGACCTAAGCTTCAGGACTGCGGGGTCAGGGAGGTGTGCGAATCCTGGTGATTCATTCTCAGGCGATGGGGATGCACCGACTGTTCATGCACAGGATCCAAGGGCCAGACAGAGCCTCCAAGTGGTGTCAGGGTATTCTCTCATCTCCAGAAAACCCTCTTTCAAGGAAATGACAATCTACCCTACCCGAAAAAGCATCTGCGATCCTCTCTGGCAGAGGATCAGTGGCACCTCTAGCTAAAGAGGGCCTTTGTGTGGGTGAAGAATAGGCACTCCATTTGTGTGGCCTGAGCTCAAGCTGGAGTGCCTAGCATGGGCCAAGTTCTGGCCCCACTAGATCTCCTGACTGGGTGCCCTTGAACAGTGAATAACCTGCACAACCATACGTGGCTGCCCTGCACAGAATACCCTTTACCTGGAGAGCTGTGGCATCAGACTGCCAGTTCACAGCCTGGCTCTGATACTCGCTAATCGCCATCTTGGGAAAGTTACCCACCTCGCCTTGAGTAAGAATGCCTCAGTTCTCTCCTACATAACATGGGGGTAGTAAGCCCACTTCACAAAACAGATGTGAGGATTCAATCAGTTATTAAATGGAAAGTGTGCATCTGGCACAGAGTAAAAGCTTGGTAAATGTTATTATGCTTAACTCATCTAAGCAAGAGATGGGAATGATTGGTAAGGTCTTTTCCCCCCCCCTAAATTAAGAGGACGAAAATGTCTCCCTTAAAGTTCATTCCCACTTGTCCTTGACGGATGTTAAGAGATGTCCTGGAGTGGAGATAAGGAGTCTTGAGTTCAGATGTCCTATGACTGTCTCTAAGCTGGAAACAGCCCAAAGCCTCCCTGCAAGCTCAGGTCCTCATGGACAGAATCAGCAAAGGTCGGGGGAGGATCTCTGACAGGCTCACAACTATTGTTCTTTTAGTGTAAGATTCTAAGACTGTTAAGACTGTGAGTGAGTGACTTCGTGGCCTTTCTTCCCCACTAGGATCTTATAGCCCAGTGCTTCAAATACCCAAAATGCTAGGAGATTCATGCATGACTCAATATTCAATTACTTTCTTTTCAGCTCTTACCTTCAACGTAGGTGGGGAATGAAGCCAAGCTTTTTCTTGACTGTAATCAAGATGAAGAGGTTTCAAAAAGGGCAAAGCATGATGAAAAATGCATTAACACAACTTTATCCATGCAACATGAAAAACAGATTGCCAATGACAGATATTAACCAGGTGTCAAACATTTTTGGATACGGAAAGAAAAGCGTGAATAAACATACACATTTCTTATTAAAGGTTACCCAGAGCCCAGAACATCTATTCATATTTTAGATAATCTGAAAACCTTACATTTCACAGAGAGGTCCATCAGTTTAAAAAAATATCCCACAGACCAAAGTCCATAATCAATTCAAAGCAATACAAAGGGCTGAATTTGTATTCTTAAGAATCTGGGTTTCTAAGTGAAAAACTGCTGGATTAGTAAAAGCACCAAAAATGTGATTATATGTTGAAATCTGGATTCCCTGGGAGAATTTTATTTCCCTTGAGGTCTCTTCTTCAGTAATCTCTCACTATGCTAAAAATGTTTGCTAGTTTTCCTCTCCTCCTTTCACCTCTTACTGGTTTAAAAATTCCATTATGTAAGTAATTATTACGTGTTACCTTAAAATAAGAACACAACAAACACAGGAGTGAACTGAAAACCCTGGGATTTCTTATACTAAGACCTCATAGCAAGGGTCAGTCTTCCAACAGCACCATTGGACGTGGGCATGATCGGCTAGAGGCCTTCTAGAACCTGACCGGATGGCGGTTTAAATGCTCTCAGAGAAACAACACTTACCATTTGGTTCCTTCCATAAGTGAATAGCCTAGAAATAACTCTGAGTGGCATAAGAGTAGGAAATTCATTCCTGCTTTATCCAGTCACAGATTCTGAGGTGGATATATCTGGGGCAGGGTGATGTGAGCATTGCAGGGGAGTGAAGAGCTAATGCCAAAGACAAGAGTCCTTCAACTGAGCAAAAAGGAAGGTTTGCATGACCAAGGGTTATCCTCAGAAAGCCAAAGATTTTCATTGCTAAGAATCTAGCCAGTACTGGGGTGCCTGGGTGGCTCAGTCGGTTAAAGCATCTGCCTTTGGCTCGGGTCACAACCCCAGGGTCCTGAGATCGAGCCCCGTGTCAGGATCCCTGCTCAGCGGGAAGCCTGCTTCTCCCTCTGCCTCTCTCCCCTGCTTGTTCTCTCTCTAATAAATGAATAAATAAATATTAAAAAGAGCCTAACAAGTATTAAGTTGTCATTTAAATATGTACCTTTTAGGAAAAGAGTATCTAATACAGCACAGCTGCTCAACAGGTTGACCTAGGTTGATGGTAAACTCTGGGGTGCCTGGTGGCTGGGAGAGTTAGGGCCTAAAAGAGGGCTGGGACATCACGGGAACAGCTCTATCTCATAGTACTGTGTACAGTGCTCTTCACGTGGAAGATGGAGACAACAAAGGGAGGCCTAACCATTTACTCCTTGCACAACATTCTAAAAATAGTAGCATTAAACATTACATATAAAAGGAACCAGAGGCAAAGACACCCAGGTTTAAGAATCGCCCTCAGTTCAGGACAATGACAAGAATTTAACACTAAACACACAATATACCACGCAAGGCAACCTGGCAGGAAACCTGCCAGGATGTGCTCGCTGGGATGCAATGGTTCGTTACACCAAGGATGGTGGGTTTCTCATTTCAGAAAGGATTACCTTTAAGGAAACAAAAGACACAAGTCCACTGGGAATGAAAGATCATTGGCTGCTAATGCATTTACAGAAAAATGCACACCAAGCTAAGCTATGTGCACAGGAGGAAAGAGAACTCCAATTTCCACAGCACTTTACATTAGTTTTACTTTCCAAGTGAGAAGACAGGCCCAGGTGAGTGCCAATAGCTGGGTCTAATTCTGCTTAAAAACAAACAAAAATCCATAACTTCATGGTATGCAGATGGAAACTAGTTTCTTCATAAAGACCAAAGACTTTAAAATTATTATTCCCCACACCTCCCTTGGCCTTGTCCTCAGCAGCGAGGGGTCTGGGGTAGTGAGGGTTTATTTTGTTTCGTCAAAATGGGTTAGCCTCCAGGTACATCCAAGAAGCCAATTCAGATTTTCTTGGGCTATTAGGACACTTTTCTGAATGCTAATGTCAAGGACAGTCCTGAGATTTTAGCAGAAGCTACAAAAGAATTACTTTATCTATAGTTCTAAAAGATGCCGTTTTATTTAGAGCCACAACGGAGGGCATTTGGTACATTTACTTATTCTCTATTCATAAGCTCATGACTGGCTTTCTTTAGTCTCTGGGGTAGTAAGTTTTTTAAAAAAAGAGTTTTAAGAAATGAAAGAATCTCTAATTATTGCACACAAAGAGGATTTTCATCATTATTTCTAAGCATATGCAGAAACATGTGCCAAGTCCTGTAGGAACGGAGAAACTAACAAATTTGCCTCGCTTATTTTATCTGATGAATAATCAAATGCTGAATATTCGGATGTCTGATTAGCCCTTTGTTTTCTCACATGTGGACAGAGATGAACATCAGTTGATCCTTAACATTCAAGAATTAATAAAGCCACATTCAAGAAGATGAAAGGCCAAAATCTTTGGGATTTTCCAGGAGGTCAGACTGAACCATGTGCAGAGCCTGGAGGTCTGACAATTGGAATAAAGACATACAAGTTAGCTCGTCTATGCACCATGTGTGTGGCCTGGGGCACTTTTCACCTGGTGTTAACAGCCTGGGCCCACACGAGCTCTGGTTTCAAATCCTGGCCTGACCACTTGTGGGCCCTGGACCTCAGGTAAGTTACTGAACCTCTAGGCTTCCTCAACAAAAAATGAGGACAGTGATTCCTACCTTATAGAATTATTTTCAGGATTAAATGAGATACTACCTGTGATTTGCTTGGACTGATGCCTGAACGCTGTAAATGCTCAAGAAATGGTAACTCTCATTGCTGTTATTATCACTGTGGCTTTAATTCCTTTCTTCTTGCTTTTGGTTCTCACCGATCCCTGTACTATGAATAAAGTATAAGGCAAAGCTGCGGGATCTGTGGTCAGCAGAAAGTGACCTTGCTACTCCTCCTGTTCCCGTGACCTAGGGTCTGAGGACAAGACCAGAGGAGGACAAAGTATATGTCAAATTTAAATTTAATGCTGGTGTGGGTGCCTGGGTGGCTCAGTCGTTAAGCATCTGCCTTCGGCTCAGGTCATGATCCCAGGGTCCTGGGCTCTGCGGGAAGCCTGCTTCTCCCTCTCCCACTCCCCCTGCTTGTGTTCCTGCTCTCGCTATCTCTCTGTCAAATAAATAAATAACATCTTAAAAAAAAAATTTAATGTTGGTGTCATCTCAGAGAAGGTCTCCTTATGTTTGTTTGCTTTAATATAAACAGATTATTAAAGCATATACTTCTCCCTGCATGAATAGTTAATGGCAAATGGATGTATATTCGATGATAGTTTAAGGATATATTTTAATAAAGACTCCCTTTAGAAGTGATCTGCCGCTCAGGGTAAAATGGAGATTGCTTTCTTCTGCTGCATTTAACACAATATTATTATCAAAGGGAAGGGAAATGAGACAATCATTCATTATATGGTGTACCTCTTTCGTGCATACCCTCAGCATTGATTAGGCAGCATCTATATTTAGAGTGAGCTGAACCCACATGTAGACTCTGGTGCAGGCCAATATTCGCCTGACCCCAGTTCAATACTAGGTGGGGGGTGGCATTTGCTGGGGGTAAAAGGACAACAGTGTGGGAAAACGCAGTGGCTTCCCTGTGGGAAGAGCACCTGTCCTTTCCCAGCCCCAGAAACCTCAGCGGGAGCAGGCAGCATTTTCTCACTTACATATTCTCTGCTGGGGCTCAGGCTGGCCTCCATCAGTAGGGTGACCATATGACTCACTGTCCAACAGGGACACTTTAGGGCTGCGCTGTCTAGTCGTCTTTAGCCACACGTGACTCTTTAATTAAAATGGAATAAAGCGCAGAATTCAGTTCCTCGGGCCCACGAGCCACATCTCAAGAGCTTGCTAGGCGTCTGCGGCTGGGGCCTGCCTGTATGCAGGACGGCGCAGGAGCAGAACGTTTTCAGCACTGCACACGTTCTCTGGGACAGCAGTGCTTTAGAAAGGGGTGTTCCCTGGGTCCACAGCTTGCACAACAGGTGTGAACTGGAACCATCCCAGGTAAACCAGGACAAGTGGTCACCTTGGTGTCGTGAAAGATATTTCACTTGGGCCTGAAATAAATGGGTATTTAAGAAACCAGCCCACTCCCCAAACCACATGGCAACCTCATTTCAGAGGCTCGTAATGCCTGAGGAAGGATGCTGCTACACAGAGTTCTTAAGATTCCATTTCCAGCACGGTCCAGGAGAACTTTCTGGAACGACTGGAAATGTTGTCATCTCCCCTGTCCAATACAACAACCACTGGTTCCATGTGGCTAGTGAGCACTTGAACTGTGGCTACTGTGCCTGTGGAGGTGCATTTCCATTTTATTGATTGATTGATTGATTGATTTTGAGAGAGAGAGAGCATGAGAAGGGGGAGGGTCAGAGGGAGAAGCAGACTCCCCGCCGAGCAGGGAGCCCGATGCGGGACTCAATCCTGGGACTCCAGGATCATGACCTGAGCCGAAGGCAGTCGCTTAACCGACTGAGCCACCCAGGCGCCCTCCATTTTATTTATTAATCAAATAAATGGTGGCCAGTGGCTATCAGACTGGATGGTGCGGCTTCCATCACCGAACTCCATGCTTGAGAGGAGAGATTAGAATTTCTCTGCCTGGTGGTGGTGGAGGTTGTCGGGGGGGAAGTTTGGGGGATTTGTGTGGGAAGCTGAAGAAAACTCACGCCAGAAGAAGAATAAAACAACAGAGGCCGGTGGCTTCTGAAACAAAATGGCACCCTACCTCTTTATTGGAGGAGGCCTCCGCGGGGTCGCTGGGGTGGAGGGCTGTGCTCGAGGACTCTGCACCCAGCGGGGAGGAACTGCCAGGAGACGGAGACTGGAACACAGCAAGGGAAGGACACAGTGAGTATCTGAGGGCTCACGAACACCTGCGGGGGCAGGGGTAGGGTTGAGAGGAGAAAGCCCAACACAATGGAACAAACACTTCTATGGTGAGAAAACTTCCTTGCAAGAGGAGCCACCAACAGTCCCTAAAAGGCCCGGGGTTTTTGAGCTTTCTTTTAAATTCTCGCCGTGTTTTCCAAGGAATCCTTGAAAGCTCAGCCATTCTTTTCCTCCTTCGGCCAAGTGTTTAAACATAGCAAAAGCTGAGTATATCGAACTTAAAGCCCTGAATGAATAAAGCTAACGGGGAGACACAAAGGTCTGTGGTTTTCAAAATTCTTCTCACAGATAAAGACTTCAGGTACTCATTGTCTTAATAAAATCACCTGCCCAACATTACCTGAATGGAAATGTAAAAATGAAAACAGGTATTTTCAAAGAGGCAGCTGGGACTGATGACCAGAAACCACACCACCCATATTTCTCTAGCCCAGATTTCAAGTATTTTTTTTCTCATTTAATCCACAGGACATTGAAAATTCAGAGAAACGTCAGCATCCAAACAATGGATGCTTGACCTTGGCTGCTGTCGAAACAGTTCTAAAGTCCTTTATTAAATGCTCTGTTTGAAAATAAGGGTTAGAAGAATAGATGTAGGGGTGTATGGTCCACACAGGTGTGTTACCGCCTCTGGTGGGTGGCCCAGGCAGGCCTCGCTGGAAGGGAACGGCAAGCCCCAGGCCGGGCCCGACACAGCACGGACTCCGTAAATACCCGCCGAATGAGTGGCCAAAGAAGTGAGCAGGCACAAGGATGGGACGGAGATGGGTGCTGGAAACCCTCCCCAGCTGATACCCAAACATTTCTGCATGCTCCTGCAATCCTGAAAGATGAAGGGCATCTTCAGGCGAGCCACAGGGATGCTTAAAAATTCTGTAGTGATGGTCCTCTGAGATCAAGCACGCCCGGCTTCGCCGTTTGTTGGTGAAATCTGACGGAAGGCCTAAAACAGAACCTGCATAAGCATCTGTTCTCAGAGCAAGTGTGGCGATGTGAAGGGGGGGCTCCGTCCTGGGCAAAGGAAGCAGAATAATACCCGTGAGCTGAATCTGTTTCTGATCTCTTGCAGCTGGTCCCCGTGGGGAGACTGAGGTAGAAACTTCAGCTGAGTACCTCCACGTGGAAAGGTAGAATGTTCCATGAACTCAGTCATGCTGAGTGGGGGAGGGGGCACGTTCATATACAGTGGGGCTTCAGTGAGCATTATGTGAAATCATAAAAAAAAAATAAATCTTTTTCAGGAAGTCTGAATTACAGGAAAACACAGGGGGCACCAAATGAACTGAACGATGATGTGCTGAAATGCAGTTTTATTCACACTGAGACACTGCATGGTCCCGACCTATTCCCGTCAGGCCTGGATTTGTTTTCTGTGGGCCCATATACCTGATTCTGGGCAGGGAGGTGAGGACCCATGAGCCTCTCAATCATTCACATGCAGAAATCGGCCCCTTCAGCATAAAGCCAAGAGGATGGGCACAGGGTAAGAGTAGACCTAAAGGACCCCAAGCCCCACAGCCCCTGGATGCAACAAAACAGCCCTGCATGCTTTAAAAAAAAAAATCTCACACAGAATTTTTCATTTGGCACCCAAGAGAGTTGAGGGTTACTGGCTGAGTTAGCTCTCTTTGGACTACTCAAAACTAATGTAGTGAAGTCTCATGAGATTTCAGTGCCTTTAAATCTTCCCAGTTTTTCAAATTTGAAGGGCTTCCTTAGATATTTACATCTCTCCATTTTCCCCCAAGTCATTTTCTCTGTTGCAAAGATTTTAAGGGTCTGGTGCCTGGGAAGCTAGGATAGCTGGTTTTTCTTTAATTGTTCGGTTTGAGGGCTGTGTAACACCTTCATTAAAAAAAAGAAGAAGAAGAAGACGACCTTCAAAAGTGCCCAGTAGTTCCTATTTCCTTATCTAACCATTTGCTGTCGCAAATCTAAATTCTAAAAATGGATTCTCTGCAACCCTGCAAACGTCAGATCGTCTCAGGATGCTATGGGGAGGCCGGTTATCCAGACAGTAGGCTGTGATGTGGAAGGGGCAGGTCAGACTCCACAGTGAGGCTAATTGACCTGGTACCTGCCATGGGGCTCTGGAGAGGAGAGATCTGCAGTGCCCTTCATCAGGGACCACGTCCCCTCAATGCTCCACACTCTAGCCCTCTGCATGCAAATGAGTTCCTTCACTTTTCCTTCCACTTCCATGAGCAGTTAATGACCTCCATCTAGAGAGTTCTCCCACATTCTTGCCCACCTTCAGTGCTGAATTTGAAGGCATGCGTCTTGCTGAAGCTTTCTCGGACTCTATTCCCGGTACTGTTCTCCCTGATGGCTTGTGTCAGGTCTTGTAATTATCTGTTTATGTGTGTGTCTCCCCTCCCCCTCGAACTCTTTGGCAGGGATCTTGTCTGAATCATTTTGGAATCCCAAGTGCCTGGCCATGGGTCTCATAAACAGCAGGTGCTCAGTAAGCCTTTGCTGAATAAATGATTTCAGGGTCATTTCTAGCTCTACTGTGTTTTCCAACCTGCAGAAAGCAGATCTTTTATTACTGTTTAGTGGTCAATGGGAAGCCCTTTTCTGATAGCACTCTCATGCTCTTATGTGTGGAATGTTAAATCTACATTTTGAATTAGAAAAAAAGGTTCTTTGCCTTTTTCTGACCTGAGCTCCAGCCAAGCTCTAGGACCCCACCTGTGGAAGCCTAGCACCCCACGCACCACTGCTGACAAAGTCAAGGTGGAAAAATGCCTTCAGAGCAGACACGGCCCCCATGGCGCCTAAACAAAGGTGTGAGTATCGATTCATCTCCAATGTCTGCTTTCAAAGCGCTTTGCCCCTCTCCTCCAGCTTCCACATTGCCATACTCTCAGAAGTGGAGAGAAAACCAGAAATTAGAGAACACTTCCTACTTTCAAAGAATGTACCGGAGGCAAAGTTTAACCGATAAAATATGATACACAAAGTAAGTTATTACCACATGTTTCTCTGGCTGAAGTCTCATGCCTGCTGGGTCACTAGCTGCATACTCAATTTCAAGCAAATGAAACCAAGGATGGGAAGCAAATGTGGGAAATTCACTGCGTACCACACAGGACATCTAGTAGGAGGCATCTATAATGTCCAAGGCCGACGCGGTAACTCCCTGTCCTGGTTAATTACAGGTGGTCTTCTTAAGCTGCTTGTCCTCTGCAGACTGTGTTCTAGCAGAGTCTCCACAACTACGGTCTAAATTTTACTGCCAGAGCAGTAAAGACTCAGCCATAAGACTTCAGTTCTTTAACGCCAGGACAGGAGACGGATAGTTCCGTTGTTAGGCCGGCGATGGCCTCAGGATGCAGAAGCATCCAGACGGAAAGCCGATCACTCATTTTATTTCCAATCGAACCTGTCCTAGGGGCCAAGGTTGTACTGTGGGTGGTAGAGGTGAAGCAAACAGCTCAAGGAACTTTTAGGCCATCCTTGCTGGGAAGAGAAGTAGTGTGCAAATAACGATTATTCATTTATTCCTGCAACAGACATCTCTGTGCCTACCTCTGCTCTGAATATTGGGCCAAGAAACGAGGAGGAAAGAGATGTGGTCCTGTCCTACATGCCTTTCCAGGTGATGGGAGTAGGCAGGGCTGGGACGCAGGGCTGTGGCAGAACACCAACCTTTTCAGAAAGGCCTCAGGACTGAGTGCAAAGCAGTGACTGGGAGAGGTGTACAGAGATCCTGAAAGACTTCTGGAGAAATTTTAGTCAAAAGACACAAGAACGTGAGCTCCACCAGGACTGTGCATTCATTTATTTCCCATGGAAATTCGGACAGCATCCGAGGAGGCCCAGATCCCTGCCTGCGCCCAAGGAGCCCCTGGCTTAGCAGGGGAGACAGACATACAAATACACACAGGGTGGCCTCTGAATGCAGTGGCCACCGAGTCCTTGAGAACAGAAGTCACAATGACACAAAAGCAGTCCCTACTGAGCTGACCACTCGCGATGTTGATGTCCACCTTAACGGTCCTCCACCTCCAACCCTACCATCTCCCCGGCCCTTGTCTCTGTCAAGCTGGTCTCTGTTGATGGTTGGGACCATCTGGTGTCACCAGGCCCAGAGCAAAACAAAACAGAAAACCAGAAACCTGCAAAGGCACTGCAGAGTACAAGTGCAAATACTGCAAAAATAGAAAGCACGATTTTAGCAAGTTGAAGTAGGCACAGTTGGAGGACTGCTCACACCAGCCATGGGTAAGAGTTGGTGGAGTTACACCAGTTCACAATTAAGCAGACGATAAAACAGAAAGAATGATACTAGAGGTGCCTCGAAAGAGCGTGATTAGAATATCAAATCAGTTAACAGAGACCCTTGTGAAAACTGCATCAGCCCTCACATGTTTTTGCTGAAATTGTCCTCTTTCTGATTGGAAGGATCCCTTCCGGTCATGCTGCAGAAGTCACAATGTGAACTGAAGAAGGCTATTCTAGTGTATGACTCGATGGTCCTTTCTGAAAAAATTACAACTCCTCAAATCAATACTTCTTTTCTGTTTTAAGGATTCACATAAAGGGCACCTGGGTGGCTCAGTCATTAAGTGTCTGCCTTCTGCTCAGGTCATGATCCCGGGGTCCTGGGACCGAGTCCCACGTCGGGCTCCCTGCTCAGTGGGGAGCCTGCTTCTCCTCTGCCTCTCTCGCTCTCTCAAATAAATAAAATCTTTTTTTTAAAAAAAAAAAGAATTCACATGTAGGTGAAATTATAACCTATATGTTATTAGTCAATAAATAAAACTACTAAGCTTATGTTTATAATTTTTAATATTGTTTTGCAAGCTAAGGTGCTAACCAAATCCCCCCACCCTTCCTCCCCATACTTTGAAAGTTTGGTCCTCGTTCTAAGTGGATTAATTTTAGAAGGTAAACTTCTGCAGGATTCCTTAGAACAACATTCCTTGCCCACATGATTACAATGGGACATGACAGCTACCCTAAGAAGTGTGAGCAGGAGCCGAGGAACAGCAGGGAGGAGAGACGACCTGCAGAGGATGGGCAGGGAGGCTGGGCAGGGAGGCCTCCAGGGGAGCAAAAACAGATGCCATTCCTGCCCCAGTGCCTGGGGACTCGGGAGGCCCTGAAGCCAAGCCTGTTGGTTGGCGGAAATAAAAACTCAGTCAACTCCTAAGATACAGGGTCTGGTCTTCGAATCCAACGTGACCTGGCTTTCCAATACGAGGGTCCATTTCCCAAAGCACAGTGTGATTTCAGGGAGTACAAGTTCCATTGCTCCTTTGAAAAGGGCTGGGATGTTTTAATTTTAAAACATTGGCAAACAAGTAAAGCTCTTAAGGTTTCAGGACAGTGAGCTGCTTGCGCGCTCTAGCCCCAGCATCTGGCAGACCAGCGTCTGAATTCTGCTCTCCGCTCACGGTTCTGACTCTGGGCAGCTCCTCATCTTCTCTGATCCTCCTGAGAACTGAGGACAACAGTTACCACCCACCTCCCGGGGCTGATGTGAGGATTAACTGGGGACGATGCACGCAGGGCGTCAGCTCAGCGCCTGTGTGTACGCACAAAGCATTCCGCCGGCCTCTGACGAGAGTCTTGTAAGATTCCAACGGTAACAAGTATTTCACCCCATGGAGGAGCGTTCACAAGGACAGCACATACCCATGGGGATGCTTTAAAGCCTCATCTCATCTTCTTGCTTCCTTCCTTATTAAAATTTTACTCAGGAATAGAATTAAAAAGCACACAGAAGGCTCTCTAAAATCATACTACAAAGACCCTAAATCAACTTATAAGCCCCAAGACTCTTAGTGGTATATTGGTAAGAAGAGCTCATTCCTGGCTAAGGCTGGGGGTATATACAAGGACCGTGTGCATTTTCTGGCATGCCCGCTGTCTCCCATTCAAGAATGGGAGAATATTTTGCAATACGAGAGCTGAGAGTGAAGCTATTCTGGTGATGGAGTTACAAAAGAGAATCAGGTGCAATATGCAAGTGTGAATTTACAACACAGCCCACGTACAACCATGACACACCAAGATACTCTACTGTGAGGACCTTGGTTAAAGACTCTGGCCGGCTCTAGCTAACCTTGTCAAGTCCCAGCACATGGTCATCCTTTCCTCCAAGGAAACTCAGTGACAGGAGTTCCACCCCAACGAAGGGGAGAAAATAATCCTTTAAGAATGACACACTTTTACCACATCTATCTGGGACTGAATTATTTAGTAATTAACCGTGTCCCCACCAAATTCATACATCAAAACCCTAGCCTCCAGGGGGATGGTATGAGGAGATGGGGCCTTTGGGAGGTAATTAGGTCCTCTCTCTTCTCTTCACCATGTGAGAACATGGCGAGAAGACCGCCATCCACAAACCAGGAAGGGGGTGGGGTCTACACCAGAAGCTAGGGGTGCTGGCACCCCGCTCTCAGACCTCCCAGGTTCCAGAACTGTGACAAGTACATTTCTGCTGTGTAAGCCCCCCAGCCTATGGTATCTTT